GAGATTTTGATACTGACAATCAGTCATACATACTCCAATATAATAACGTAGAGGTAATATATAAAAAAAATGACATTTTTATGAATAATTAAACAGTAGATTTGGACAGAAATTATATTAAGCAAGTTCTTATGCTCTGAAAAAAATTAAAATTTGAGACAACATATACACTCAGGAACATTGAAAATAACGACCCAAGAAGGAAACTAAGTACAATCGCGAAACTTTGCAAATAAGTATAGCGTAATGTGATATGCAAATGATCCAAGTTTTGTGCCAATACGCATGCTAATACACGACGAGGGGACGCTACAATCAGTAAGAGGGTGCTATATAAGCCAGCGCAAATTCGAAGATTCATAAACGCGACGATTACTCGCCGATTGTAGGAAGACTTTGGTAACCGAAACATGCCAGGTAAACGTGCTAGAAGAAATTTCTCACAGTTAAGCGAGTTTGAGAGAGGCCTGATCATCGGAATGAAAACTGCAGGCTGGTTGACGCGCCGTGTTGCTGTACAGGTGGATCGTTCAGAGTGTGCCGTTAGAAATTGCTGGGAGCAGTGGACACAAGAAGGTACCCACGCGCGGAAAACAGGGTCTGGAGCGAACACGAGGAGAGAGGATCGAAGGATCGTGCGGCAAGCACTTGTGGACTCCACAGTGACTCGTTCAACGATGCGAGCAGACGTAGGCGTAGCAATTGTTCCACAAACAGTTTCCAGACACCATGCAGAAGCAAATCTTAAATCCAAGCGCCCTTTCCGTGTACTCCCTTTAACACCTTATTATCGGCAACTGCGTCTACAGTTGTGCTAAGCCAGATCGATGTGGAATGTCACAGATTGGCAAAAGGTTGTGTTTAGTGATGAATCCCGGTTTGTTTTGGGGACAGATGATAACCGTGTACGGGTGTGGAGGCGCCCTGGTGAGCGGTACAATTCCCCACACACTGTTCTACGTCACACTGCCCGCACAGCTGGTGTAATGGTCTGGGGGCCCATGGCCTATGATAGCCGGTCCACTTTAATTGTGATGCGTGGAACCTTAACGGGCCAACGTTACGTTGATGATATTATTCGACCCCATGTAGGACCTTTCCTAAAGGGTCTCCCAGGGGCACTTTTCCAGCAAGATAATGCTCGTCCACATAGAGCAAGAGTTGCTTAAGACTTCCTATGTCATTTTCAGACTCTTCCATAGCCGGCCCGCTCCCCCGATTTGTCCCCTGTAGAGCACGTGTGTTGTCAGCTACAACAGCAGATGCCATCGTGTCACTCTGTACATGATTTAGAGTTGGCTGTTCAAGATTTGTAAGCCCATCTGCCTCAGGATAACATAAGGTGTCTAATCAACTCAATGCCGGACCGTGTGGCGGCATGTATTGCAGCTGGAGGTGGTCCAACGCGCTATTGAAATTGCCCAGTATTTGTGTCGTTGCACACCCTGTATTCGTGTGATTGTCTTGTTTTTGAGATCAAGTGAATCTCTCATTTGTGTCATTATGTGTATTAAATTTCATTTGAATCAGATGCTTTCTTGTGTCGCTATTTTCAATGTTCCTGAGTGTATGTAATGACTGTACTGTCAGTCGTTTTCTTTTTAAATATTCTTCCACGTGTATTCACTTCTGTCTTTGAAGTGACTAACTATTGTTTACAACATAAAATAGACAAATGAAGTCACCGTTGGTTAGCTCAATTTGTACGTTTTTGTGTGTGTAAAGCCTATTAATGAAAAAAACTTCATCAACCACACATTACAGAGTCACATCCTCACTATGGAGTGAGTACATAAGCCATCATACACTGAGGTAAGATTTCCTTACCGCGCACCTCAGATTGCATGGTTAGAGGAATGTTATTTCCTTACCGCGCACCTCAGATTGCATGGTTATATAAGTGTTATTTCCTTACCCTAGGTAAGCGGAAATATACACCATTTATCAATGAGTTTCGATTCACGTTTGTACATTCCGTGGCCTGAATCTCATTAATTGATGTATTCTTGCCAGAAGGATTATCTTTAAGTTGGTGTGTGTGTGTGTGTGTGTGTGATGGTTGTATTCTCAATTTCGTTTATACTACTTTTTTCAGTAGAATGAAATTGAACCTCTGATGCATGTAACGTTTATTCTCATAGGGTGAACGTTGCAGCATTATAGTATGTGCAAAATCACCATGTGCGTGATTTTCTGCATCTTCAGCGACCAACTGGAGACATCTCCCTTCAACATGACAATGAACCACAATTCATCCTTTCTGAATGTTATCGAAAGATTTAAAAGTTTTTCTACGATCATTATTCCCTGTCTATCTTGGTCATTTTATCCCAAAGACATCGAGCTCATCTGAGGTGTAATTGAGGAAGATGCTCGACTCTCTGACCATCAAATATATGAGAAGTGTTAGATATAGACTGGTTTTACGAATCAATATTGTTTTCTCATGTGCTAATGATTAAAACTGTATATCGTTCTTTTTTCTATCCTATGTAAACATATATCTTAGCTACAGAAATCATTACCAGTTACTGATAGTGTAACTACTATCCATTCGTTTATTTTTTCGTTTTTTTATTAATACCGTGGTTGGTGAGTGGTTATGATTACAAACTCTTGTCCGGCGTTGTTTCCGCCGAATCGCGGGTTTGAGTCACATACTGTTAAATGTCTGCTGTTTTGAAGAGCTGATGCATAAGAGATCCAATGTTCTTAGATTGGTGTAGCTGGAAATTTAACCTTTCTTTACTTGACCAATGCCCAAAATTACAAGGCACTTCTCCAATTACTCTTCTTTTCTTTTGAAGTGCGAAATCAATAAACAAATAACAGCTTTATTGTTCGTTTTTTTGTCACACCTGTGCATGTGTTTTACCCTTGTAATTTCAGAGAAAATAATTCTTTCTAATTAGTGTTTTTATTTTGAAAAATTATTTTGTTATAGTTGTTTTTAATCGCAATAATTGCAAAAACTGGCTTTAAACAAGTTTTTAAAAATTGACGCTTTTTTTAATTTATTTTAATTATAAAAAATATTGCTTAGAAATGAACATAAAGGAATTTTATTATAATTTTTATGGCATTGTGAAAGAGATGAAAGTTAATTTATAAAAAATATTTGAACAACAATAAGTTTAAAAAGAGAATGCTAATTAAGCTTTAAATTTCAACGTGCACGAATGCAGTTATCAATGTTTTGTCATTTAAAAATTATTATTATGCACGCTTTTGTAATTTGTCTGGCATGAAAATTTAGTTTTAATTTTCTTTTATAGATAGATCCTGCACTTGTAGTTGAAGGACGGCAGAAATATGAGGCATCTGCTATAAATTCTAGAAACGAATATAACAACTGTTTGAAAACAATTGTTCAAACATATGGAATAAGTCATGAAACTGAAGCATTCGGCGGTTCATTCTTGAAATTACACGCACGCTTTAATGAAAGAAGAGATAGGGCAGATATTGTCAATTTGGTTCAAACTTGGATCAGGGAATTAGTTGATAAAACTAGGAAAGAGTTCTTTAGAGATGTGAATGCACCTACTAAAGTTAATCGCATTGTTGACGATATTAAGAGAAAAGCATCTGCTTGGTATATTGTAACTTATAGGGAAAAGAATCCTGAATTCTTAAGCTTTCCTTGGGTCGTTTCCGAAATTTTTGTCAGTATTAAGATACTCTCACCATGTGTAGGGAGAATCAAGAATACTGCACCATTAACGCTGAAATTCGAAAAAGAAGTTATAGAAAATGCAAATGCTGGAATGCTACCATCTCTGAACCCCGAAGCCAAGTTTTTACTGAATTCGTTATATTTCCTTTGTGATCCTATAATTGTTGAAAGAGCTGTACGTTTACTGACAAAATGGGCTGATGAGGAGAAAATAATATCCTTAGCAGATAAAAAAAAAGAAGGAAAGTTTTTGTATTATAACACTTTTATTAAACTAATTATCTATGTTGCGGAATCTGAGAATTATGTTTCTCGAAAACCTGTACAATCACGAAAGGAATTTCCATCAACGGCTGCATTGTGTATTTCTTTTTTTAAGTACTGTATGAAATTAAGGTTTCTGAGTAAACAGGAAGTAAAAGCCATTTTGCCATTCCAGGTTTATAATGATCGAATATTAGCTAAGGTTGCCTCACAAGCTTTTCACACAATTGTTGTAACTGGTAATTTCTCATGTCTTTGCTATCAGGAATATTTGCATAATGCTCCAGAAATTGTGGATATGAAAGTGGTATCAATTGACAGTTCGGTATTTGGGGTATCTCCGATTGAAGAAAGCAAATTACGTAATGCTGAATCAGCTCTTCAACAGTTTTCTGGGGTAGAGCACGTTTTAATGAGGGAGAACTGTCAAAGGAAGAAAATTATCGTAGATGGAAAAGGAACAATTCCTGCTATAAAACGTCTTAAAGGTGTATTAAACAAAAGAAATGAAGTTTTAATCCGTTTTTTCGAGAAGGGAACATTACCTGGATGAAATAAATGAGCTTTACAACTGGCGCATCAACTTAAAACAAATTGCCAATATACGATATAAACTATGTATTGAAAAGAACTGTGTGTAATATGTATCTCATACACAATTATATTTTTAGTTTTCAGTTAGTCAAATTATAAATGTTCAGTATTTTTCAAATTATTGTTATTATGCTACATATAATGGAATAATCCCGGAATATTTCCGTAAACATAAAATTTACATCAGCGTAGCTGTGCAATATAGCTATAAATAATAATATTAATTGGAAAATATTTGTTTCCTAATATTATTCATTCTCGGCACACATTGAAATTTCTTTCTTTTTTCCTTTGAAATTATACTTCTTTTGGGGTGTTAGAGAAATAGGAAGAGGGTGAATTTTTACAATGCGCGCGCACACCGTCACGAATGCGAAATTTCTTTGTCTAGAAATATACAGAACGTTAAAGATCATTGCCGCCTTCGAAATTCTCAGGAAAATATTTCTCTTCACTTCCCTTAAAAAGGGGATACCCGGGTTTGAACCGGAGGCCTCTCAAACTGCAGTTGAATACTTTACCACTGAGCTATACGCCCTCGTCAGCGAACATTTGCTTTGCGTTCCGTAAGAACGGATACGAAAATGCTTTGTCTATAAATATACATAACGGGACAAATCATTGCTGCCTTCGAAATTCTCAGAAAAGTTATTTCTCTTCACTTCCCTGAAGAAGAGGAGCTCTCGATCTGCAGTCGAATGCTCTACCTCTGAGCTATACCTTCGCGTCAGCTAACCTTTGCTTTACGTTCCGTAGGAACGGATGCGAAAATGCTTTGATTAGAAATATTTAGAACGGAACAGATCATTCCCACCTTCAAATTTCTCAAAAAAATATTTCTCTTCACTTCCCTGAAGAAGGAGACTTTCAGGGTTTGAGCTGAGAACCTCTGCAGTCGAATGCTCTACCATTCAGCTATAACCCCCATGTCAGCGAACCTTTGCTTTCCGTAGGAACGGATACGAAAATGCTTTGTCTAGAAATATACATAACGGTACAGATCATTCCCGCCTTCGAAATTCTCGAAAAAATATTTCTCTTCACTTCCCTGAAGAAGGTGGCACCTTAGTTTGAGCCGGGGACCTCTAAATTAGCAGTCGAATACTCGACCACTGAGCTATAACTCTCGGTGTCTGTAAACATTTTATTTGCGCTGATTTGTGACGTCACTACTAGTAGGGAGAGATCGTCCTTCGCCTACGGAGCTTCTATGATGCATTTGTTTGAGCACATTTTGTTATTAAACCAAGCATACTTACAGGAAATTAAAAAAAAATAGTAAATTAATCTTTAAATTGTGTTTCATCTGCATAAAACATTAGAGTAAATATTAGTTTTCCTATTTAAATAACAATTGCAAGTATATGATTATAGATGTATTTACTACGAACGCATTGCGATGAACATAAACACATTTATTACATTGTAGCAAATTATAAGAGCATTTTGTATTCGTATATTTATTATTGAAGTTATCCTCTCTGGGCCTTAGGGAAAAAGAATGAGGGTAAATTTTTACGATGCGAGCGTACACCGTTGTCTAATATTTTAATATGCCACTTTTTTTGTTGCGATGGGACTGATATTTGGGGAATCATAATTATTGAACCATATTTGTTGGGACGCATCCCCCCTGTGCATTCCCCCCTACAGCTTTTTGGCCAATATCTCGGCATCCGAGCCTCTAGGTCCATCAGGACCTGGCTCATTCGATCCCTCTCTATCTGCTATTCCAGTTATTATAATTTCATGTACTCATAGGGCTAATTCTTCTATAGATTTACTTGCCTTAAACTTTTTACATTTGTTTAAATTCGCAATATCTTGGCTCCCGTTTGAGTCTCGGACTTGAGATTTGAACCAAGTGATCCAGTCTTCCGAGACCCATCTCGTCATATACTTGACTCCTATTATGTAGGGTAGCCGAGTGGTATAGGTATCGGACCGCGGCTTGCCTTGTCATGAGTTCGAGCCCAGTGCCACTAAAGACCCGCCGTGTAGGGCAGCGATGCGCGTTAAATCTGTCGAGAGCTGAAACGTCCTCCCGTTGGTGTGATGTGGCAGTTAGGAGAGGGGGTGCCAGCTCAGGTGTCGTCCACGTCACTTGACCATGGTTCAAAATTACGTGGTCCGTCGCCAAAAGCCCTCGTGTAGCTAAACAGTGCGACGTTAATAATAAATCATCATCACCTTTATGTAGGCATGGGGAGGGCTTAAGCTTTAAAACGTCATGCTCTCATGTTAATCCTATGGGGACTGGAAAAATTCCCCTCCCTAAGGAATTGAGCTTGGAACTTTATTTTGGAGGTCCGCCATATTTTCGTATTAGCGTGAGCTTTACGTGGAATTGGCCACCTCCCCCCTACAGGGCTTCCCCAGAAATAACTCGAATCCTATGCCACCTTGGTCCACCGCACCGGCTGGATTCGATTGTTCTTCCTATGAGTATCCTAGATATTTTTTCGGGACCATAGCTCCATTTCTTTACCTATATTTAACATTTTAAAATTATTTTTAAGTTGTAATTTTTTTTTAAATCCCACATAGCTCCTAGGTTTTTTTTAGATTTTTTAATGAAACTCGGAACGCAGGTTCTCCTCGTTGAGCTGTTTCATCTGTTATAATTCGTGTGTAGATAGTGGGTTTGGGGGGAGTTATCACTAAAATTAGAATCCCCTTGTTTTTCCTATGGGGTTCGATCTTTTGATGACGTAACGATATTACAGAGATAGAAGAATGAAACTTTGGGATCACCTATACTACTCTGTTTATCGTTGAGATGAACGTGACCATTTACGTCACAGTTCCACTCCGGGATGATTAATTTCGTTTTCCTTTCCCGAGCTACCGCTACCCCATTTGCAACTACAGACTCCGGACCGGTTCTAATGGATTCTTTTTGTGTTTGCTCACAACTAGGCCCAGTTTCGAGTTGCTGGGTGCCCTGCTTCTATTTTATTTAATTGTTTTAATTTTTTTTAAAATGACCATAACTCGGGGGCTCTTCAGGCGAATGTCTTAATTTTCTCGGGAACGATTCTTTCCGCCGAGACATTCAATATGAGGTCTCATATGTCACATTCGGCTCACTTCATCTCCAGATACAGTCAGATACCCCCCCCATGTTATTGGTCCTATTGTCCCTGTGTGGGGGTGTTTAAATTTATATATATCGTGGTTATCTCAGGTTTGGCTGCTCCAGTTGACTGAAGGTTAGTATCGTTCAACTCTGCTCGTGACCGTCTTTCACCTTTGGCCGAGCTTGCCCTGCTTAAGATTTTTAGAAAGATTTTAATCTTGTTACGCCAAAGAAGTATAACTTCTTACGTGCGTACATAAGTACACTCACACTTCTTTTTTTGGAATTTCAATGAATGAGTGTCATTAAATACGATATTTTTAATTAACAAGATAGGCATCTGGTAAATTCATTTTACTTTTTCTTTTAAGTGTATATCGTTTTATATATAATTACGTATAAAGTTTATTTCAATATCACATCTTAAAAATGTAAAACCGTTGCTTTTTGAATGGACTTGGTTGGTAATTTAAAAAATTTTAAACCACAGCAAAAAAATGATTTGAATATTTGGCGTAGAAATTAAATTATATTTTTCAAATGTAATAGTTATATTACAACGATTGTTGTTGCTACGAAGAAGTAATTTAAAATACCATTTTGATAAAGCAATGTAAGATTTTATTGTGGTGGACCTTGTAATGTTAAACGGGTGTTTGTTTTTGTTGCATTTATTAATAATGTTTCTATGTTTTATATTAATTTGTTTTAATACACTTTTAGTTAGATTTATTGTAAGATACAAATTGCTTGTGTATATAGAAAAATTACTGTGTGCAATTAAAAAAATACTTATTATCTTTGATTCCTGATTAATATATGCTTAGAATTAAATATGAACATCTTTAAGAAATAAAGATTAAAATTTTATATTGCATGTTTATCTGATGTTTTTTGTGTCATTTTCGTAATAATATAATGATTTATACATTTTTATGTAATATCAGCTTTTTTAAAAAAATTATGCAAGTATATTTCTTGAGATTTTCTATAAAAAAAAATATTAGTTATTATAAATGAATACGCAGAAATAACTTAGGCATTGTCTTATCTACTAAAAGTTGTTTATAATGTATAAATCAAAATCAATTGGAAAAAATATACTCTGAAAATATTTGTTTTTTATTTCCAATGTCAGTTATATGACAAATCACACAAAAATAGCTTACATAGTAAACAAACAATTAAGGTACTTAAACAAAATAAAAATAATTGACCCATGCGCAGTCTCGAAAACTGCAATGTACAATCTAAGATGGTCTCCATCCGTAATAAAATACTGCAAAATGGGCTAGTTGGGCTCGCCAGGGTGCCAGTTTAAAACAAGTGCGCCACCAAGCAATCACCCCCAGTAGTTCGGTTTGTTCATTGTCATCCACGCTGGAATCCAGTGAATGGAAATGTTGATTTTTTTCTTCCTTAGCTTTTCCCGATAAGTTCGACATTTTAATACATGTAGAGGTGTAGAAGCGGCACCAGAAGCAATACTTGAATAGCTGGCTTCGAATCAGACAATATCACAACTTTAACAAAAGTCTAATTTCTGATAGTTTTTTGTAAAGCTACAAAATTGCAGCTGTTTCATCATCAAAAGCACTTCCAGAATGTCCAGCAGGGATATAAAATGTAAATAATTCACATAATACCCCTGTATCGACATTAGTATTTGACTCTTGGAAAGCAATAGGGAAGCGTTTCTCTCATACTTTTAAATTTTAAGTTTTAGAATATGCCTAATCTAATTTTCAGCTGAAGAGGTAATCCAGAATCCAAAGAAAAATCAACATTTATCTTCATTACTTGAGGCATGTTTGACCATTAACTTGCTATTAATTTAAAACACACACACATGGTTGTATTTAGTATTTGGCATGTTTTATTTAATTTGGTTGGTTCGAATGTTTTTCTCTGGTTTCAATCCCATATTCGTTTATTTTACACACATTTTGAATGAGGAGGTAAAATTCGTGTACAGAAAATGTTAAGAGTTTCGTAGTCTGCAGAATTTGAATTTCATTGCTAACTCGTTTCACTCCACAGAGATAATCTAAGGAAAGTTAAGCAAGATTTATTTTGAAAGTAATTATTGAATTGCAGATGCAAAATGTTAAGTTTATCATTGTCATCTGATAACGTTTTAAACTGCTGTGACCAATGACTCCATGTGTAATTTTAAAATTCTGACGCTGATTCAACTGATCGTGTCCAAATTTAAGCTCACAAATATAAAATCTACGTAAATTAATGAACTATTTACTATGTTGCCACGAAATTTGGCTCAAAGGCAAAATACACATGGTCGGAAAGAATGACAATATGGAAAAGATTTCAACTACGAATGCAGATACACGTCATATAATGAGTCGGAGATAAAGTATTTACCTCGGAAAAAGTCTCTAATAAGGAGCTGACCACTGTGAACTGCTACACAAGTCTCGCAACGAGCCGTCGTACTGTTT